AATGATCTTATCTTCATCCAATTAGAAGCTGGGCAAACGCTTCTTTCTTCAAATGTAAGGGTTAGTTTAATACTAATACATTGACTTCCTTATCTAGTGTCTAGTATGCAAATCCTCGTGACTGATTATTCTAGTTTCCTCTGAGGTATTTGCCTAAATATCAGTGAAAGTGAAAAGGAATTATTTTTGGTGCTTACTGCATTTAAAAACAACTTTTTTTTCACAGTGTATCTCAAGAAACTTCGTCCTGGATAATCCACAGACCTCGCGTCAACATTTTTGATGTGGAATTAAGAATATTGGGAAGTCTGTAGATCAGTAAAATAAATGGAAAAAAAATTCTGAAAGTATATTTTAAATGCAATCTTCAGCATTTTGAGCAGCACAAACCAATTTCAAACCGGTTTTCTTGTACTCTTATTAAAGTCAGTGAACATATTTCCCAACCTAATCAGGTAAGAGTGACGGTTTATTTAGGTGGAACTAACTATGTACATGCTAGTGGCTGTTTCCTGTTTGCCAGACGACTGTTTGTCAGTTATTTAGTGACCTCTTTCCTCCTCAGGAGCCATAAAGGGCCTGTCGGGACGACCCAGTGTTTTATCCGGTGTTGAGGGCCATTCAAGTTGGAGGTGTTTCATTGGGGCTTGAGTCTCTTAAGCATTTGCTCCTGGGTACACACACACCCACAGGAAATGTAGTGTAAAACTTTCACACCCCCCCCCTTCCTAACCTCCCATGTGTCTATGCAGCGTTACTATCTGATACCGCATTCTTCGCCAAGCCTCCTTCCTGTCTCTTGTCTTTGTCTGCCATTTTATGGACAAAGGCCAGTTGGAGGGGATGATGATGAGGAGGAGGAGGCCCATGGATCAATACAACACACAACCCTTGGCAATCATTCAGTTGGCTCCTTTTGTAATTAATGGACGGGCGTTATTTCGGCTACAGATGAGATTTGCTCTTGATCAATGGCTCCTATTTCATCACTTGATTGACTCATCAGTATTCAAAGTGTCACTTCCTTCCTGCAAAGTTAGCGCAAAAGCCTTTTGGCAGCTCTCACAGGCCCCGATAGACTAGCCAGTGATTTTGTATTCCGCTTGCTAATTAAATCAGCGGGGTGTTTGTCTTAGTGTTGCTCTCACTGGAGACTGTTGCTGGAAACAGCAAGTTGTCAAGAGTCGACAGATTTGATCCCCAAAAATGCGAAATAAATAGTAAAAAAAACCTCATCGTTTATGGTGGGAGATATTTCAAACATCAGATAATGAGCCTGCCTTACATAAAACTAAACTAAAATGAGAACAAAATATTTCCGGAAAGTCCACAAGGAGCATTAAATATCACTTCTGAAAGATACTGCCGTGCTTTCTGTTAACACAGAGCATGCTTTAACTGTTTCTCCCATAGCCTAACTCTGACAAGATCACGTCCTTGTTCCTCTTTTAACAGCCTCAGGGGACAGTTTTGTGTGTTTGCTGCTGCATTCCATGGAGCCCCCCTACAACCACTTTTGTTCTGTTTTCCCCTTTGATATCTCAACCAAGGGCAACAAAAAGCATCACATATGCACATTAGAGAGATAGCGAGAATGATAGATAGATAGATAGATAGATGGATCTGGTGTGTTTGTTTGTGAAGAATAAGAAGAAGAAGAAGAAGAAGAAGAAGAAGAAGAAGAAGAAGAAGAAGAAGAAGAAGAAGAGGAAGTTCGGTCTTTCTTTATCCACCCTTTCCTCCCCCTTCATTCCCTCTTTTTTTTTCAGATTAGACTATGCATCCAGACAGATGGTTCCCGTCTGCTGGCTTTTTTCAATTCACTTCCTCTCCTCACAGACAGCCGCCCTTCCCCCCTCTGCTGTCTCTCTCCCTCCCTTCCTCCCTCTCTCTCTCGTTCTCCCCCCTCCCCCCTCCAACGGCTCCTCTGTTATGTGGCCAGAAATAATCTTTTATTGCCCAGTTGTTCGGAAGTGACCTCCTGCCCTTGATTAGATAGGGCCAAGTCCTATCACACGATTGTGTTTGAGCTGGCGGGCTGACCCCCCCCACCCACTCACACTCACACACACACTCACACACCATATTCACCCCCTCCCACACCAGCCCCATCCTTTTTTCCAACCCCCCGTCCCTCTCTCACTGCCGGGGCCTTGGTGATCCTGTGTGAGGGGACAACAATGGGGGGCTTTAGTCCCGTCCGGCTCTTCTCGGCTGGGGGGCAACAGGGTGGGGGTCATGAGGGACTTTCTTTTTTTCTCCATCAGTCAGCCAGTCACCGGGTGGAAGTGGCAGCNGTCACACAGCAGCATGTTGATGAAGAAGGGATATGTTTCCATCATTACCATTTACAGAGGAATGGACCCAGGACAGAAAAGGCCAAAGCAACAGCAGCCGTGGTAATGATGGAAACATATCCCTTCTTCATCAACATGCTGCTGTGTGACAGAAAAGATGAAGGGACAAAAGGTAGGAAAACTTCTGGATGTACTTGGAATGTGCTCACGTCTAAGAGGAGAATCAAAGAGATCGTGATAGAAATGTACTGTTTATAGAAGGATGTAAAAAGAGCAGCAACAGGTCCTTCTATGTCAGATCAATGTTCTATAAGCACTTAAAGACCACCATCTTTATAAATTGAGTGTAACATGTTTTCTTTTGTACTAGATTCATTACGTAAGCATCTACTCTCACCTCTTCCCGGGTGTCCGCTCTCTCTTCAGGCTCAGACGAGTCTCTAGAAGCCCTCTTTCTTCTGGTTAGGAGAGTTTATGAAGAAAAAGAAGATCACATTTTGACACCAGACAAACAGACTTTCAATGATTTAACAAACAACGATTAAGATGATCAGATCTGCTCACCTGATCCACAGGAAGACAGAGAGAGAAATGACAGCCAGGACAACAACAGGGATTGTTGCAGCAGCAGCAGCAGCAGCAGCAGCAGCTGGTAGCTTCCATGATCCTCCTGAGAGGTAATACAGCAGTGTTTCTCTAATCAAGTCAAATCAAAGTCAACTTTATTGTCAATCTCAAAATATCATTATTCCATTGACGGAGCAGAGAGACGGAGCGGCTGTACGTTGTTGCTCGGGCTGGGGCATCCTTTTCCACCTGTCCAGTTTGTGCTGTGGCGGGGACCTGTTTCCACTTGTCATGTGCTGCTGTCCTGGCGAGATTTTGCCCCGGGGACGTAACGGAGAGACCAGAGCGACTTCGCGTTCGGGCTGCGGCTCTACGGTGCCGAAGAGGTTTTACCACGGGGATATCGCGGAGAGACCGGAGCGCCTCTACGTTTCGGGCTGGACCTGCTTCGCCTATCCTATACTGCTGTGCTGATGAGGATCTTCACCGGGGACATCGCGGAGAGACCGGAGCGCCTGTACGCTTCGGGCTGGACCTGCTTCGCCTATCCTGCTGTGCTGAGGGGGTTTTGCACCGGGGATATCGCGTAGAGACCGGAGCGCCTCCACGTTTCGAGCCTGCTTGCGCGCCTATCCGGATGCTGTGCTGGTCTGGGAAAATGGCCCATATCGTGATTCTGCTATGCCTGTTAGCTATTTGGGGCAATGAGAAGTTCTCTCGTCATCCTGAGAAGTCGACTGGATTCAGGTCTGTTCTACCGCCCGCAGTGGACATCCCCTATAAAGGTTTGGATGTGTTACAAACAATTACTGGTTGGCTTGTCACAGACATTCAGTTCGACTAATGTTTGTCTTTCTCACTTGCCTGCTATGATGGTTCTTCAGGACTGCTTCTTGAGCTCTAATCTCACTTTCGCGGAGTTTGCTGGTGACTTTAACGCAGATTACAATGTGTGTCGGTTAAGAGAAAAAGGTGCTTTTTTTGTTGTTGCTATTATTACTATCAGGGAATGTACAACTAAAGCCTGGACCTCCCAGTAGCAGCAGTCAGATAGCTACTCCTGCTGATTTTAATTCTAGATCTGGGTTGGGATTCTTAAATGTGCGC